TTCAAGTGCTGAAGAGCAAAGATGTCTCCTTGAGGACTAATGTGTGCCTGACACAAGCTATGGTATTTTCAGTCACCTCATAGGCATGTAAGAGCTGGACAATGAATAAGGAAGACTGAAGAAGAACTGGTGCTTTTGAGTTGTGGTGTTGGCGAAGAATGCTGAGAGTTGTGGACTGCTAAAAGAACTAACAGATCTGTTCTGGAGGAAGTGCAGCTGGAATGCTTCTTGGAGGTGAGAATGGCCAGACTTCGTCTCACCTACTTTGGTCATGTTGTCAGAAGGGACCATTTCCTGGAGAAGTATGTCATGCTTGGTAAGGTTGACGAAAGAGGGGAAGGCCCTCAACAAGATGTATTGACACAGTGGTGGTAGGGATGGGCTCAAGTATAACAAGGATCGTGGAGTTGGTGCAGGATCGGGCGATGTTTCATTCTGCTTTGCATAGGGCGCTATGAGTCAGAGACAACTCAACAGCACCTAACAACAACAATCATAAGCCAGAGAATTTCTTGTACTTGCAGCTTATCCTGGGTCAATGACCTTCCCTCTCTAATTCTGTCCCATACAGCACCTTCCTTTTAGCATCAGTAGGTCCATCAGCCAAACTGTCCTTACTGTATTCCAGCGTTCCTCTAGTAAATCCCTGCCAAACTTCTGAAAGGACAGAACAATCTGTAATGGCCTTTGTGGAATGCAAGTGATTAGGGCAGAAAAAGACATGAGCCATTGTGGTAATGAAAAAGATTTGTGTTGAGAATCTGGTCTGTGTACATAATAACTTGATACAAATTCTTATTTGTGTGAATTGCTATACCCTAGCATAAATCCTTCTTAGAGATAGGGAATAATGTTCTTTTTCAGAAGGTTATAAAAAGGCCTTCTTACTACAGCTCCCGTTCTTTCTCCCCATCTCCCACCAATGCCCACATCCCAAGAGAGCAATAATAGTTCCCAAAGCTAAATTTGCAACATATGTGTCTATGGCAAATAACTTTAATAAATGTTTTATGGGATGGTAGGGTCAAAGGACCCTATAACTACTTTCCCAAGTTCCTTGCTATTTCTATCACAGAATTTAAGTGTTTTACTTTTTAATTGTCTGGGAAAGGATTTTTAAGTCCTAACAATTGCTCCTAAAACACAATTGATGTTATTTTGCTTTAAGCCTTAAGGTTTCATTCTTCATTCTTCCATCCTCCTCTACCCCTAGCCTATCTCAGCTCCTAGGAGAGGGGTGGGTGACAAAATAGTGGACTCATCATGTGTATTCAGTCCTTGCTGAAAGAGCAATGATTGGATTATGTATACTACAATGCTCTGTGCTTTTGTTAGGGACCACAGCTTTCATTCATTCATTCAACAAATATTCAATGAGCACCCTCCATACGCTAGAGACTGTTCTAATTACTGTGAATATAGCATGGAACAAAACAAAGGGCTTAACTCTGTGGAACTTGAATTCTATACTGTCATGTATTGTCAGTTCTCTCTTTAAAATGTCTCGGGTACCTGTGTCTTGCTGTATAATCTCATACCATTGCCTGTGTTTAGAGTCTCAGTATTTCTCATCTAAACTATACTTGACTGCTGTCTCTTCCTCCCATCCAGTTTCCCCTACACATTGTCAAGGGATCCAATGCTTTGAAACTTCTTAGGAAGTCATTTCCCTACTTATAAAAGGGGGAAAAAATCCCTAAAAGACTTCCACACCTCCACCTCTCAAACAAAAAGAAAACCAAACTCACTGCCATGGAGTCAATTCTGAGTCATAGCGACCCCCATTGGGTTTTCAAGGCTGTAAATCTTTATGGAAGCAGACTGCCTCATCTTTCTTCCATGGAGCAGCTGGTTGGTCGGTTTGATCCACTGACTTTTGGTTAACAGCCAAATGCCTTAACCACTACACCACCAGAGCTCCTTCCCCCACCTCTACTGCCTACCAAATGTTTTCACCCCTTAGCATGTCATTTACAGTCCTCAGCGATGTGACTTCAACCTACTTTCGTAATGTTAATCAGGGGTGCGTTACCCAGTAAACAAGGTAAGCACGTGCTTACTTGTACTTACTAATCTGTAGTGAACAATTTCACAGAAACTCATGTGAAATTGTTCACTACAGATTAGTAAGTAAACACAAGTAAGCTTGCACTTACATTGCTTACTGGGTACTCTATCCCTGTCAGGGATAGTAAATTTGAAAAGAAGCTTTGATTCTGTAGTAGGAAGGTACTGTAGATATAGAAGAGAGATGCCATCCATACCTAGAAGCAGAAGCTTTGATGTGGTGAAAAAAAAATGTGAAACTGTTCACTACAAATTAGTAAGTAAGCACAAGTAAGCCCATGCTTATCTTGCTTAGCTGATAATCCAACACTGAATATTTTCCTTCAACTGTTCCCTTTCATGGACTCTATGTTCTCTACTACACCTCCTCAACTTGGAAATGTTTGCCAGGGGTATTCCCTACCAACTCTGCCTATAAAAAGTCTACCCACCCTTCATGGCGCAAGTCACAGACCCTCTCAAACTATAAGTACTTTTTCTCCTCTTAACTTGTACCCCTTTATACTTCTGTGGCCTCTGTCACATTCTGCCTTGTGTTGTAGGCTATCTTAACTCCTAAATCCAAATGTGAGATTCTTGGGTGTAGAAATGACACTTTACCCTGTTTGGTTGTTCTTCCCCTGAAGAACTTGTCTGTGAACATTGTCCAGTATTCTATAATAAGAGAGAAGAGTCTCAACATGTGGCTAGTGCTCTTTGAACATGATCACATCCCTATTTCTTTTGGTGTTGGTGAACAGGCAGTTCAGATCATAACATATCCTTAAAAATTAATAAAAACCATTGAATGGCTTCTAATGTATGTAACTCCATCTCTGCCTTCTCACTGGTGGATTTTTTTTTTTGTACTGAATTTGTCCTTGTCATTTTACAGAGACACTCTTATCGCCACTCTCACTATGATCCTCCAGCAAGCAGACAGGCAGGAAGTCTGCCCCGATTTCCTGGGGCCAGAAGTCACAGGGGAGCACTTATGGATTCCCAGCAAGCATCAGGGACCATCGTGCAGATTGTCATCAATAACAAACACAAGCATGGACAAGGTAAGAGGATCCACATAGGGGCATCAGCACCCTGGGTCTTTGGAGGGCTGGAGCTCAAAAGGACCTTTTCTTCCGCACACATTCCATGTTCACATGTTGATCACTCACCATTCAAATCCACAGAGTGGGTATGGACAAGAGACTCCATGGGAATCTTAAGGCTCTCCCAAATGTAGCATAGTTCATATATTAAGTAAACCTTTAGGACAAAAGGCAATAAAGCAGCTAACCTAATGCCTATAGGGTTTCCAAGGCTATTATATTTACAGGAGCAGACTGCCACATCTTTCTTCCACAGAGTGTGACTGGTGGATTCGAACTGTGGACTTTTACAGTTAGCAGCTGAGCTCTAAACCACTGCACCACCAGGGCTCCTTTCCCCAAAATTACCTTGATACAAAGGCAACTTCAGGTTCCCCAGCTAGTGACTAGATTTAATTATGACTCCAGCTGCACTTTTCTCTCAGATATGGTTAATGATTTTGTGCTACAAATCATGCCTTGTGTCAAGAAATACCCCTGCTCTGACTGGAGAGAGCTAGTAGTGAAATAAATTGTTTGTCTGGTCCCCTATCCACTGCTTTCAGACTCTAGTTCAGAAACATCCTCTTTATCTTCAAAGGGATTGAACACCCAGGAAGTTTGCTTTAGAGACCCTACACCACCACCATAAACTCATCAGATTCTCCATGAGCACATTTTCTAAGTCCTATGAGACCAAGGTCAGAGCTTTCAAGCATAGACGTTAACCTGGGAAGAGTCTTAGGCCTGACTGAGTAGGAAAAGACCTACCACTGAAGGAGCATAATGACAGTTGAGTGTTTTGCATTTTAAAGCCCACACAAGCACATTTCATTATTTTCCTTGAAGCTGCATCAGGCTCTACCTATCTCCAAATGAAGAAATGCATGTGTCTTGACATTGCCCTGCGTCATGCATGGATTGATTTATGTCTCCCCACAATTTGTGTCAGCTTGGCTGGGCCATGATTCTCAGTGGTTTAGAAGTGATGTAATGATGTAACATAGCAGTACATAATGATACCCCAAGATGTGATCTAATGGAATAAGTTGATGACATGTAAGAAGATTAAGATTAAGGATGGGTTGCAACACCCTTAGTCCTATCATAGACCTGACCAATGTAAGGGGAGCTTCTCTGGGGTGTGGCCTGCAATACCTTTTATCTTACAAGAGATAAAAGGAGAGAAAGAGAGAGCAGAGAAAGGGGACCGACTACCACCAAGAAAGAGGAGCCAGGAGTGGAGTGCATCCTTTGGACCCAGGGTTCCTGCACTCAGATCCTCCTAGGAAAAAGGGACACACACAGAGAGAGGCTTCTCCTAGAACCAGCACTCTGAACTCAGATTTCTAGCCTCCTAAACTGTAAGAGAATATATTTCTATTTGTGGTATTTCTGTTATAGCAGCACTAGACAACTAAGACATCCTGTATGCAACTGAAACCATCACAATGTTCTCTCTGTACCTCTTACAACCAGCTAATGTGAAGAACTTGGCTGTGTACCACCATCGTAGCCAAGGGGCCTTCTCACCTGGCCCTTAGAGGGCCAGGCTCCTTTGTGTCTGGGCCACTTAATTGAGGGTGGCATTAGCTCACAAACGGAATGGCATGGCAGTTCAATTTTTATTATCCACTGAAACCTCCACAAGAAAACATTACATTGAGGCTTAGGGAAGACACACATACTTGGAGAGCAGAGGCATCTCCTCTAAACTGTAAAAGCCAATAGATTAAATGCATACATGAAGACACCCTCAGAAACAACCAAACCAAAACCTGTTGCCTTTGAGTTGATTCTAATAGCAACCCTATAGGACAGAGTAGAACTGCCCCAGAAGGTTTCCCAGTCTGTAAATCTTTATGGAAGCAGACTGTTAGCATCTTTCTCCCGTGGAGCCAATGGTGGGTTCCAACCACTGGCCTTTGCATTAGCATACAAGTGCTTAACCACTGTACCACCAAGGCTCCCCCTCCAAACAACATAGGCCCAATTTTCTCCCAGGAAACAATATAGAAACACAGCCTTGACAATGTGTAGCATATGAAGAAAAATGTCTTTAGAAACGAGTAATCCAATGAGAAATCCAGAAACCTCCTGGCCCAGCACCAGGAGGACTAATCAGGTTAACTCTGACATGCAGCCCATCAGCTGACCACTGGCTGTAGCACACCCACATACGTCCATGGGCCCATTTCTTCCTTCACGGGCCTCCAGTAATGGGGGTGGGGGAGGAGGAGAAATTCAATCAGACAGTTGACTGCTTTTTACTTTTTTAGGCACCCTGTCAACCAGCTCTTCGGAGCAAGAACTCAGCTGGTTCCTTTTTATGAAACCACAAACATGTTTTGTTTCCTTTAAAGGAAAAACAAAATCAAAGGCAGTTCTCTGAACGGGTTAAAGTAATAAATTATTAAACCAAATGATTGAATAACATGGGTGAAAAACAATCCGTTACAAAGAACTCCTACTATAAATCTCAAAAAAGCTAGTCAAGCCAAAGCTAGTTGACCACATCTGTTACTAGTTAGATGTAAATTTCAGATTACAGATAAAAAATTAAATTGGTTTTGAAACTTACAGGCTTAAAAGAAGAACACTCAAAAATAAAACTTTTAATAAAAAATAGTGCTATATTAGAAGTATCGGAAATATTTATCATCAATCTGGGTTTGATTTGAAATTTATTATTTTTAAGTTCCAAGGCATTCTGATATGAATTTGTGAAATGAGGAGGAGTTAGGTAAAGATGCAGTTTGATTTTCAATCCTAAATTGCCTCCAATAGATTCCATTTGCTGCAAAAGTATTTCAAAGCCTTACCAAAAAAAAAAAAAAAAAAAAAAATGTGTAGGGAAACGGACTTTGAAAATCCCAAATCCCATAATTTCCACAAGCCCTCTTCATTTTCAGGGGCTCATCCCTTGATTTTCTGTGTGTCCTACAAAAGCTCCAGCTGGTTTACATTTATTCATCTGCCCCCATTGATTTGGATGCTGCAGCTCTCTTCTAACCTTTCTGTTATAGTTCACTGGAGAATCATTTGCCCCACCTCCAACTCCCAACTCCCCAGCTGGACAATTCAAAATCACCTTGAGAATTGGTTGGTGGGGAGAAGACTGCATTTCAACCTGGAGAGTTGACCTCACCCTACTCCATTTCAGAGTATGGGCTCTCACCCAGTCTATTAGGAGAGATGGAAGCCCTGTGCTGCTCCGAAGCATGTCTCATCCTTCTCCTTAGCTCTCTTGCTGCTCATGTGGTCCTCTGAGATACATGTACTTGGTTTCTTGTTACAGTCAGAGGAGAAGGGATAAGACACCACCGTTTTAAATTTGAGTCTAGTGTAAATTTGCTTGAAGCAGATTATGTGTCACTTGAAGCAGACTACTTGTCTCCTTGTTCACATTGTCCAGAAGGGAGTGAGATAGAAAAGATGAGGGCAGGACAGGGAGCAACACATCTGGCCTATGAGTTCTGGTCATCTCTTGTCATGTGATCCTATCCACAGCCTTGAGCCTCATGGTTTAGGTATCAAGTCTCTAGTCTGTCTCATTGTAAGGTTGGGAGCCTTCCCACTGGTTTAGGTTCTTGGAAATCTTTGCATGGATTGACGTGTTAGAGTACCCAGTACTCCAGCAGTTCTTGCAAAGGACAGTGAAAGGCGGCCAATATCATTCATATTTCCTGATGCAGCCCAGTGGACTTGATGAGAAAGAAATAGCCCAGTGATTCATCCTTCTGAGGCAGTTGTCTTGCAGCCAAATCAGTCAATTCCTAGAAACGCCCCAAGTCCGGCTCTTTCTCTCACCCTAACCCTGCCTTAAGTGATATGACCCACCCTAGAGATGTTGTTGATTGGGATGCCGACAGGTCTCCCTGGGTATGATGAGGTGATGGGAATAATGAGAAACACACCCAGTCCCAGTCATGGCTTGAAATGTCCAGAACTTCTCACAGTGCTTTCAAAAAGGGAGAGAACTCATCCCCAGACTTCCTTATTCATAGGCCTGTGCAGTTTTTATCCTGGAGCCTAGCTCTATGTCTTACATTAGGAGCCAGATACATTTTGGTTGATTTGCATTGAAGGGTGTTCCTGTGGTCCTTTCCCTTCATAGGCCCCTCGGCCTGCAGCCCAGATGCTTGCTTTTTCAAGGCCCCTCAGAAAACATGGAGCCAATGACTTCATTTCCCATTCAACAAATGTGAGACTGCCAAAGGATATCTATGGGGCAGGCAGGGATTCTCTGTAGGTAAATCTCTATAGCCACCATGAGGTGAAAGATAGGAAATTAAGTTATTTGAAGATCTGAGACATAAAAATGTCTGCTCTTTCATAAACTATCCAGAAGTGAGTCCTTCTCCTTTCAATCTTGTCTTAGCTTCCTTCCTATTCCAGACAGTAGGCCAGTGCCATTGAACTCCATACCTATCTATGTTGTAGGTAGGCACTGATAGAATTTGACATCCTGAATGGATTTGCTTCCAGATCTGGAAAAACTGATCCTCTGGGAAGAGCAGCAGTTTTTGCAGGTTGGGCAATCTACTTCTGTAGTGATACCACCTCGGAAACCCAAGGAGGGGTCACTATGAGTCGGGTCCGACTCAATGGCACATAACAACAGCCTAACTAGAAGGAGCTCTGGTGGAATAGTGGATAAGGCTGCTAACCAGGTCAGCGGTTCAAACCCACCAGTTGCTCCATGGAAGGAAGATGGGGCGATCTGCTTCTGTAAAGATTTACAGCTTTGGAAACCCAGTGAGGGTCGCTATGACTCGGTATGGACTCGATGGCAGTGAGTTTGAGTTTTTGAGCCTCACTGGGCAGCAAATCCCTCTGATAACTTTTCATGTCTAGTATCACATTAATTTGGGCCATACAAATTCTTTATGGAATTGCAAGTATTAACGCTGTGTCCTATAGACTTTCCTTGTTAGATATCTAAGACAGATAGAAATCCATTTTCATACATTCCTTCATTCCTCCATTTAAAAAACAAAACCAAACCAAATTTATTGATTACTGTATGTCAGGCACTTGTGAGCACCCAGAGGCTGCTGTTGAATAACCACATAGCTGCTGACAGCAGAACATGGCCCAGGCTGTTTCCTGGTTGCAGAGCCTGCTCTGTCAATGAACCTCCATAGCTATGACAAGAACAAAGGATGCTTAATGTCTTAAGGAGTTCAGGGCTTGGGTTGTGAGTGCAAGGGCCCATTTTAATGTACTAGCCTTTAATTTCCACTCCTGTGTTCTCTTCCAGTGTGTGTTTCCAATGGAAAGACGTATTCCCATGGAGAATCCTGGCATCCAAACCTTCGGGCATTTGGCGTTGTTGAGTGTGTGCTGTGTACTTGTAATGTCACCAAGCAGGAGTGTAAGAAAATCCACTGTCCCAATCGATACCCCTGCAAATATCCTCAAAAAATAGATGGAAAATGCTGCAAGGTGTGTCCAGGTAAAAAGTCAAAAGGTGCGTTGTTTGGAGGCCCTGCCTTTTGTTGATTGAGATCCTCGCATGGTCATTCTCAACATTCTTTGAGCATCAGAAACATAAGCAACCTTTCATATAATTTTAATAATCATAATCCTAATAATAATGAAATTAATTATCTCCTCTCTTGAAGGGCTGATAAGATGGTTGCTTGGAAGAAATTTCCTAGTTAGAAATATTTTGAGGATTTGCTTGTGTCTACCATACCATTGACCCATGTATTTGCAAGTACCAAACTTACCTTGCTTTTCTAAATAGTTAAGAAATGAGATTATCCTAATTATTAGGAAGAACAGTGTTGTTGTTATGTGCTATTGAGTCGGACCCAACTCATAGCGGCCCCTCCTTGGGTTTCTGAGGTGGTATCACTATGGAAGTAGATTGC